CTTGAACCGTGGTTGGCCATATGGGGGTCCAGCAACATAACCACCGTGTCATCTGCTGGTTCCTTTTTTTTTTTTTTAAGATTTAATTATTTTTATTTATTGTTATCATTTTTAAAATTTGCTATAGGGCATGTATGCTCACCAGAGAGAGAAGGAGAGAGAGAAAGTGAGAAAGCAAGCTGCCAGGTCTGGGACTTGACCCATGGTCGGCCATGTTGAAGTCCAGCGCCTTAACCGCCGGGATACCCGCTGGCTCCAAGCTGACTTCTGTCTAACAGTCTGATCCCGGCTTATCTCACAGGCTGTGGCGAGCAGAAGTTAAAGCTGGAAGAATGCTTAGAGCAGCTGGGGTTGAGGACTTGGGGGAGCTAAAGGAGCCAAGGCTTTTCTGTCATCCCAGGAGGTTGGTCCCTGGTTTCTTTGATTCCTACCTCCCATGAGCGAGAGACAGAGAGACAGCATTGCCAACAGGGTCTTAATGCTGTGACCCACCCCTGGCTCCACCAGGGACACACGCGCACATGCCCAGTGTGCACGGGACAACTCGTCACGGATTCTCTCAGAGCACCTGGCCTCCCTCCGTGGCCTCCCCATCTTGATTTGGGGAATTGCAGGGCTCACGAACAGCTGGCAGAGCCTGCCCCAGTTGGCCCTGAGGTCTCGAACTCTCAGTGTCTGTGCTGCTGGGCTGCGGAACCCAGACGTCTGATGGAGCTGTGGTGTGCAGAGAACGAGGTGAGGGTGTAGGCCAGGGCCGAGCGCTGTTCTGGTCTCTGTGTGCCAGGAGCTGGCGTTTACTGGAGGTCACAAGCCGGCAGAGGAGGAGGAGCTTCTGCTAAGATCCTTTCCCCAGGGGCAGAGGAAATGACCGGACCATGCGCTCGTGACCTGGTTTCAAGGAAGAAGAAGGGCTTGGCCGCCCAAACACTGAGGACGAGGAAGAGGGACCGCGGTCTGCGAGGACGGGCTGGGCAGGCAGTACCGCAGCCGCCACCGACAGACTCGCACTGCAGGGCCCAGGCGTGCTCCCACCCCTAGGCACAGCTCGTCACTCTTCCTCCACCTGTCTCCGAGAATAAGGTCTCTGAAGAGACCAGGGTGGCTGTGAGGGGCACGCCTTGGTGTAAAGAACGCACAGAGGGGCTGGCAGGTGGCGTGGTGAAGGGTACTGGACTCCCACATGGCCGGCTGCGGTTTGAATCCCAAACCTGGCGACTTGCTTTCTCACTTTCCCTATCTCTCTCACATTTGGTCCCTCTCTGGTCTAACTAAAATACAAAACAGAGAAATAAATAAATAAAGGTAAATAAGCTAATTTTTTTTTTTTTTTTTGAGAGGTTTTTGCTATAGGGCGCATGCGCTCACCAGACAGAGAGAGACAGAGAGACAGAAAGCGAGAAATCACCCCCCAGGGGGGATGGCCATGCCACAATCTCTTCTCCTCCATTCTCCTCTCAGGATCTTGGGCAGGCACGCACACGCGCCCGGCGTGAGTTCTAAGCCACCGGGTCCGGGATGGGAACCGCGGTCGACTACGTGGGAGTCCAGCAACATAGCCATTACGCTAACTGCTGGTTCCCAATAAGCTAATTCTTAAAGAAAAAAAAAAACAAAAAAAAAAGAACGCACGGAGAGTGCTGACTTATCTCAGGTGAGCACTAAGCACTAAACCGATTTCCTCCTCATTCTTTGAGCCTGAAAAGGAGTTTTCTGAAGTTAAACTGAAAAAAAAAAAACATGATGGTCAGAGAAAGGATCT